TGAACGCTTCAGAAGGATCACTATGTCTTCGGATTTATTCCTAATGTCGGTATTAGGACAGCTCCGCACCCAGTGATTATTGCGATTTTTCCCGGCTGCCATACACCCGCAAATCGCCATCGTTTTCGTTGGCTGGAGAGGGGAGATAATGAAGGGCAAAGAGCTCCTCTAAGTGTACGATCGAATGAGGACTTGTGAGGGGTGGTACTGTTTGAGGGGAGTTGTAAGGGAGGCATAGGAGGGGATATACTACTGGTATAGATATCCTTGGCCTGTAGGCAGAGAGGACCTGCATGTCCTACATAGTCATAGACTCAGACAGGACAATAAAATTAGTCGCCTAATGACAATAGCAGGTCACAGTGATTGATTGGGTACTTGCAAAAGTTCTTTTAGTAGTCACACTGAGGATCGAACTCAGAACCATCTCGGGTGCGGGATGTGAACGAGATATCATAACCATTAGACCATGTGACTCTTAATGCATCAATGATCTAACTTATTAATATAATTAATAATTGCAACAACATTATACGGTCACTTGAAGAATAGCGTCGGAGGGGATCGGTTCCACTTTTCAAAGACCTTAATAGCCAACATACCTTATCCGACTAGTTTTCTACATGTTGTGATGAAGTATGTAGGTTGGTAGATCTAGTAGCTGGTGTATCGTTAGTGATTGTGGCAATATGAAATTATGGCGCATGAAGGAAATGCATTTTCTACACAACAGTTTTATAAGCAGTGCTGTTTGCAGTGCGAGAGATGAGTTGTTGATAAAGAGTAAAATGCATAGCTGCTCGACTTGGACACACTTGATGCGCTGCATACTGGTTATGTGATCGTTCTACAAGCGAACTAGCTAGTGAACAAGAGGCGAGGTTCCTCCGATGTAACGGGTTTAGCCGCTACTGGTCGTCTGGGCTGACCGACGTGCCAAGCCTCGCATTTTTTTATTGTCCTAACTGAGTCTATAACTACAGTCCGGAGGGCAAGAATAAACACCTGTACGCGGTGTCTTCTACGAACCTGGGAGTGAAATATTCTCCCAGAGCCAAGTTCAGTCAAATTTCGCAATACTCAAGAAGCTGGCCCACGAGGCAACGATTCAAATTACTCCACCACGTCAAATTTTCACTCCCAAAGAGTCCGAATCCTATCCAAGCCTCATCAAGTTTACAAGTACGACCAAGTACATCCTCATTCCAATGACCACACCACTCTTCGACCTTCTCTGGCCTCAGTTGACCACCAAATACACGCCCACGCCGATATTTATACCCGACGGAGGAAGCAAATCGTGGAGCAAAAATCTGGGAGATAGCTCTTTGGGACGGACGCGAGAGGGATCAGGACAAGTTTACAAGATGATGCAGATGAGGGATACATTCTCGACGGGCGTGAAATTTCGAATTTTGGCAAGAGCTTTACGAATTGAGCTTTGTGCGCGCCAAGAATTCGCTTGCGAGAGTGCAGCTCACACTATAAAAACAAGCAAACGATGGAAGTTGTTGTGGTCTGCCTCCTGGTGATGTTCTCTGGTATAGTTTGAGTAGCCTGGGCACCTACTCTGTTGCAAAATATACTCTGTACGATATTATATGGATAAATATGATGAAGTAAAGAAGACTTGATATTTTACAACTATGTGAACATTGGACTTATATATACATCTTAGGGGAGAAATTCCCACTAGTCTCATGTGCCTGTCAAACCTAGTGATGACCAGCCACCTCTCATCTACCATGATGATCCAAGGTACACTGTAGTACGTAAATATCCAATTGTAAATGCAACAGTTGGCGCGATTAGCGCACTCGTAACATGTGTAGAGAGAGTCGATCTTGTCGGGAACCTGAGACGAAACAGGTAGTGGTTGAGTCCTAAATTCGAGAGTCAGAATTTCCAACATACTCCACTTGGGAAGGAGACGCCTCAGACCATATTTCGCGCGGAGAAATGTGAACGGATGATGGAGGCATGTCTGGATAACCTAGGGTTTTTGAGACGTCCCCTGGGTGGGTATTCACGGATGAGGGTTGACTTGGGGTGAAGAAAAAGCCGCCATAACTTCGCAGTGGTACTTTCAAATGAAATCCGAGGCATGAGTGCTCTTCCCTTACGTTGAATCATCTGTTCTGTACTTTTCTTTGATATTGTGTCATAGCTAGATAGATGCATACGCAATTCAAATCAGATACAAAAATAAAAAAATCCAAATGTGATACAAACACCAAATAAATCTTAGATACTCCCTAATGTCTAACAATTATGGATCAAACTAAAATTGGAATGGTTCCGGAGATTGTAGGAATAACATACCAAGTATGAGGATGAGTTAGAGTTATGATGAATTTGTTTAATGTACGACGAAGTCTACTGATATTTAATGGATAGTTAGTTGTAAAGAAATTGCTACAGTTCTTACGTGTCGTGGGAAGTCCCTCTAGATACACGAAGACGGGGTCTCCGCACACTAGTGTGAACTCCAACATATTTCCTTATCTAACCTAAATGAGAAGGTTATTGGAGATGCTGAAGCCAATGTTTGGCGTCAGGCATCTATCGGCTAATTTCTATTCATGCCAATCAGTGATGATATGGGTTAATCACATCTCTTGGCGCCAGTGCATATTAGAATAATATTTAGTATTTGTCTACAGCAGTCATGTTTCTGCCTTAATTACAAAAACTAGAGCTCGATAGAATAGAGGTAATGGAACCGGTAAGAGACTGATGGACTGAGGGAGAACGAGATGGTCATTTCTCGTGGGAGAGAAATGATATCACAGGGGAATGTTCTAGCACTAGGCAGTGAACAACACAGTAAGTCTGGAGCAAGATATAAGGAGGTCTCAACCCCCGTTGATTCTTCGTAACCAAGTTTCTTATATCTGAGAATTAAGAAACAAGTCTTACATATCACGAAAACACACGCGATAGCAATTAACGAGATCTGCTGTGTGCATAACTTCCCCAAGAGTATCAATCGTCCTGCTCCTATATGGCCCAGTTAATATAACATAGTGTAACGAGGGCTTCTCTGACTACCATTGCAGCGTTTGGTACCGCATTATCTTTTATCATTCTCAGCATCATTATCGTCGTCTTGGTCGTCTTATGTGTTATCTGAAGCGCATCTTTGACAGAGGGGGAGATAACTCAGCTCAAAGTTGAAAAGTTGTCACTCAACCTAGGCTCTGCAGACTCTACAGTAAGAGCCAGAGGTTCGTAAGGGACACCACCGACAGGTGTTGAGAATAGTCCCCCAGGTAATAATGGTGATTACAATATAAATGATGAACTTCATTTCAGAACCCATTTCTCGAGTTGCCCTACCAACCATACTTTGGCATATGCAGAAAGGTGTTCTTTCAGTGGGTATCTCGGTGTTGTGGGCTATTCATCCGCCCAAAACATAGATTTGGCCATCATACACAAAAGCATCTTTCGCATCGGATGAAAGTTATATGGCTATATCTTCACTTTACGCCTAATTCCCGCCATCGCACAATGATAAAACTTCAGACGCAATTACGTTTGTTTTCAAGATGGGGCTGCGTATCGTAGATTCAGCTTTGTCAGCGAGTATGACTCTTTTTTTTTTTTTTTTTTTTTTTTTTTTTGCATCAGATTTTAATTGTGTATGCAGCTATCTAGCTATGACACAATATCAAAGAAAAGTATAGAAAAGATGATTCAATTTAAAAGTAGAGCACTCATGCCTCAGATTTCATTTGCAAGTACCACTGCGAAGTTATGGTGGCTTTTTCTTCACCCCAAGTCAACCCTCATCCGTGAATACCCACCCAAGGGAACATCTCAAAAACCCTGAGTTATCCAGACATGCCTCCATCATCTTTCAACTTTTCTCCGCGCGAAATATGGTCTGAGATATCTCCTTCCCAAATGGAGTAGGTGCCCAGGCTACTCAGACTATACCGGAGAACACCGCCAGGAGGCGGACCACAACACCTTCCATCGTTTGCTTGTTTTTATAGTGTCAGCTGCACTCTCGCAAGCGAAGTCTTGGCGCGCACAAAGCCCAATTCGAAAAACTCTTTGCCAAAATTCGGAATCTCATGCCCTTCGAAGTTATATCCTTCCTCAGTATCATCTTGTCAACTTGTCCTAATCCCTCTCACGTCCATTCCAAAGAACTGTCTCCCAGATTTGTGCGCCACGCTTTGCTTCCTCCGTCGGGTATAAATATCGGCGTGGGCGTATATTTGGTGACCAGCTGAGGCCAGAGAAGGTCGAAGAGTGGTGTGGTAATTGGAATGAGGATGTACTTGGTCGTACTTGTAGACTCGACGAGACGAAGATAGGAGTCAAACTCGTTGGGAGCGAAAAAACGACGTGGATGAGTAATTTGGATCTTTGCCTCGTGGGCCAACTTCTTTGATATTGCGAAATTTGACTGAACTTGGCTCTGGGAGAATATTTCACTCCCAGGTTCGTAGAGGACACCGCGTACAGGTGTTCAGTCTTGCCCTCCGCGAGTATGACTCATGATTATGTTAATCTCCACAAACATCTACCTTGGTCGTAAATCTCGCATAGGCAGGAATGAAGAAATGTGAATATTTAATTACTTGTCCTATCCCTGAAATAGAAAGTTGCAGTATTCCAGTCGGGAATATGAATGAGAGGTCTTACATAACGAGTCATTCTCATAATCTTCATCAAAAAGAAACTACGGCCTCACGGCTAACGGTATTGTGCTGGAATAAATCATCGATTTGGCAGATGAAGGTATAAAATCTGGTAAATTAGCGCAGTATTGAAGGTTCAAATGTCCAGGTCAGATCGTCTCCTATAATAGACGACTACCCTCGGCGCCACGACCATTCAGGAGGACGATATTTGTTCAACGAATTATCACTATTTGAATTCGAGATTCTTTCTACTCAAGCAGAAACTGCGCGGCAAAATTTCCTCACTATTCACTGATATCGATCGGTTAGATCCAGCGAGGTAAAGAATTGGTTGATACTAGAATGAGGCTGCTAACTCTTATTTTCATGGCTTTTTGGCGCACTAATCTTGCCCTCGAAATACAACCCAAAGTTTTCAGTGAAACTATGCAAGGAAATTCCGTGCCTATATTTGACGACAGTTTTGGAATGAATTGTGATTCTCCCTCAACCTACGGAAGAAAACACATCCGGCTTATGGCTAATCTGGCAAGAAAGAATAGAGGAGAATACCCATGTCATATAGTACCTCTTTGGAATCCCAAGTATCCCACGCTCACCTTTTACACCTATCCCCTAGGAAGGCGTATGTTGATGGCAGATGGTTCGTTCATGCACAGTATTGATGTCTTGGTTAAAGCTACTAAAAATTACGGCTAGGTCACAAAGTTACTGATTACCTCATTTTAAATTCTGAATGGTTTGCTGTGGATGGAGTGATGCATATTGTTGGCAATCAGGTTGATACGATTAAATTTTGTTCATTTTTACCCGGTACTTCATTTCTCAATCCTGACAAATCCATAACTACGATTTCTAAGGATGAAGCCATTGCAGACCCCAAGGTCGACACGATAGGACCTCCAAAATTAACAGAGGCACAGTCAACGAATAAGCAATCCGAGAAGACATGGAATCCTTTCACAGGCTTAAGGTATCCGATTATTAAAGACGCTCTGAGATCCAATGGTCTTTACGGTTGATGGATGACTCTCTGCTTTATCTTCGATTAATTTGTAGGTTGAAGCGCATCTTTACAAAGGAACTGGGCTGTATACTGGAGTATCTTACGCTGTAGAGGATCAAATTGGCTAGCCCTACAAGTAGTTGTGTTGGATATGCACCAGTTGCCAATGCAAAAATAATTAATCATCTGCTAAAGAATCAGAGCTGGCTGGGGGCACGAACAATTATGGCCTGGATGTTTGGCCTGAGGCAGATTTACTAAACGAGACATTCGACCACCCGATATTATCTATAGTGATTAATTTCAAAACCAACTGCAAGACTGCGTTACAGAAAGGAGTAATCTAGTGCGTATTGATAGTATATTTGTATAAATTAGTATTATAGACTGCTGGGATGATGTGGATTTTGGAGATTTGTTTTTAATTGATAGAGTATTCAGCCATCTAGCTATGACACATTTGTAATTCTAACCTACTCCTTCCATCCAAGTAAAATATTTCCCAATTAAATGTCCTAATTGACTTCTATTTATGTGGTGCCCTGCACTTGGATGTATTCAAATATTGTCAGTGATCCTTCCCTCCCGTTATTTTGTACCAAACAAGGTCGGAAGTGTTATTGGCTCAATGCCTTGGAAGCATCTGTTCCTCTGGTCTCTGAATTTCTGACAGAGTAACAACAAGTGCTGCACATTTTGTCTTTCTCACAAAAATTTCAATTTTTCCTTTGGCCTTTCGACTTTCCTCCTCGCGCCAGAGCTCCGAGCCCCAGTCTATTATCCATGCCTCAAGAACCCATTATTTAGCCCTCTGCTCGGTGAGTGAGTGAGAGGTATATTAATCTCTTCTCATTGCCTGCTTCTTCCCACCTCCTCTGGCCAGTCTATCGGTCAGCTCATTTCCTTCTCGGCCGACATCTGCTGAACGCCATTGGAGATGAAGTGTGCATCCTTGACATATCATTCTGATCTGGTGAGAAAATCGTTGCCATTTCAGAGTAAGAAGAGCCGAAAGTGTGGCTGGCAGAATATCGCCTCCATCAAAGATCTAAGTTACATGTAAACCGAGAATTTTTGTGCGCATGCCCTACAAGTAAAGCAGGCATGCAAACATCAATTATCACAGTGAATATTTACTAGCATAGCTGACCACACAACCATTATGCGGAAAATGAGAAAGGCTTTACCCCGCACCACTAACTCTATCCTATGAAGTGCAGACTAAACTCAAGCATGTCTTGCGCGGAATTTGAAGGCAGCTTGGCCGAGCGGTTATGGCACCAGTTACGGGTACACATATTCTCCTGAGTCGAAAGAGCGTGGGTTCGAGTCCCACAATTACCATGCGCTAAAATTCATTTGTTCCAAGCCCGTTGGGTGCTGGGGTAGAGTGCGGTCACGACAATAATAATATGACATGTCGAACCTGACAATGGCCCAAAGCAGTCTAGCGATTCAAATACGAAGTGAGCAGATGGGGCTTAACTCGTATTTACACAGCAGAAAAGTACCCGGAGTATTAAGTCCAGGTTGTCCATGTGGCTACCAATCACAGAACCCCAAGCACATGATTATGTCCTGCCCTCGATGGCCAGATGGAAGAGGAGAGATCTGGAGATAAGCGAAAGATCAGTTCCACGAAGCAATGATGAACAATCCTGGAGATATCAAAAGGATAACACAGTGCATCCTAAACCATGGTTGGACAGAACAATTTCAAATGACAAAGGCGGTCGAAATGCTGACGAGGGAAAGGAACAAGTCATGCCTCTTTTGAGGTCGATAAAGCTGATGTGATTGGTTGTATGGAGGGCGCTATAGTGTAACTGCGCTTCCTAAAGGATACATTAGAAAAACATAAAAATTGAACAGGAAGATTTTGGGGGTTTTCACCAAATGGTTTCCTCCCGTGTAAATTAGAAAGTATGATAGACACCTGCATGGGTCCATAGGGCGCCAAATCAGGATAATGAAATCAAGTCATGTCATATCCCAGAGGGACTGTTTGTGATTGCATAACAACACAGACTATGTTGATCGGCATTGATAATTACCATTCCCTGTGAATACAGCGAGAAGCAGGAACTCCTCTGTCTCTAGATTTCTTTGATCATTTGGTTTCATTCTGGACTTGCTCAGTTGTACACTGACATCAATTAATTTGGCCACACAGCCTTCGATGGAGAAGGAAATGAATATACAGGTATAAAACAAATAGCATGAAACTCGGTTACTTCCCAAAAGAGACCAGTTGCTATTAAATTATTACTTTTTCCAAAAGGCCGCGCTCGAATGGGTAACTTGTCTCTCATCAACAAAATAAATCAACCGTTCTGAGGTAATATTTGATGGATCATTAGGTCATTAGGTCATTAGGCTCTTTTAATATTACCTAATTTGCTTTCACCTATATGAGGCACTAGATCATTGGATTTTATAAAGATTAAATCGTAGTATGTAATAAGTTAAAGAGCAAAGAACAAAGAATAATGAATAATAAATGTTTGTAAAAAGCCAAAACTAAACCATGGGAAGGGAGGTACTACTATCATCATACAAGATCTCGCGATAGATCTTAAGTTTATTCCTAGTGACGGAGTCAGACTTCTTCATGACATGCATGGTGCATACGTTCTTAGATAAAGTTACGCCAAATATCTTTAATGCCATGCCATGCCTTGTCTTGCCTTGTCTTGTTTATGATACAACAATTCGAAATGTTTTAGCTTCTACACTAAGGTCAGCAGTGGAAGTTCTGCCATACAGTTCGAGCCTTATTATAACAGTCAACGATTTTGACCCCTGGCAAACTTATGATTGAATTTCAAGCAAAAGGTAGTTAGTTGATTCTCAATATTTGAGTCACACTTCTAATGTCATACCGCTCATGTCAAACGATTATTTCTATTCTATTCAGGAATTAGCAAAAATTAAAACTATCCGATGGAGAGAAGTGTCACTCTTCCATATTCTTGGCCAGAGTTGAAGTTTTGGTTACAGCTTAGTCTACCACTTTTTTCTGGTAGATCCGGTGGTCCTATTTCTACGATCCCAGCAATTCTTCCTACCATCGCTACTACTAAGCTCATACCAGATATCCTGGTCGACGGAATAGAAGTAGCATCTTAATTTTCGGCTTCATCGTCCTTGGTCGCCGACCCAATCTTCTCAAGCTCTGCAATAGCTGCCGCAGCTGGTGCATCTTCTTCGGCATTTCGATTAGCTAGAGCTCGGGCAAAGTGACGCTTGGATAAGTCCAACTCAGTAGCACGATTCTCCTCTGCTTGGCTTCTTGAAACCCCATAGAATCCTCCGAGTGGGCCTACTGCTGCTGCGTTAAGTTCGCCAGCTGCTTTGGTCGAAGGAGTTACAGTCGCGACTTCTACTTCGGCTTCATCAATCTTGGTCACAGATCCGATCTTCTCGGTGTCTGCGATGGATACCTTACGACTGATGGAAGAGTCAGTCTCAGTCAAACCTCGACAACTGGCGCAGTTCCGTCGCGTGGTGTGGACAGCTGTAGAGGTTGTGTCAGATGCGGTCTAAAACGGATGAATGACAGGGACAGTGACAATGACTAGGTCAGGTACAGCGACAAGGACAGATGTAGCGGTAAGGACAGGTGCAGTGACAAGGACAGGTACAGTGACAAGGACAGGGTTCATGGTGAGTCACATACATGAGAAGCCCGCCATACTAGCCCCAGTGGCACCTTCGATAGAACTAATGGTTCCATGGGAGAAGACGCTAGTGACGGCGAGAGCAGCTAGAAAAAGAGTAGACGAATACTGCATGTTGGTAGTGGTGGTGGTGATCGAAAAGCTGTTTGATGGAATAAACTGGATAAGTGCGGTAAATTTAATGAAATTGTTTGATTGATTCGATGAGATTTAGTTGAATTGGATTGAATTGGATTAGTTTGATTTAGATATTGCTGATTTGTGGATTTGGATTTATTGAGTTTTAGTTGATAATTTGATTTGATATTAATGGCTCCGGGCCGGGAAGTGAGTAGAATTCGAAATGGATAAAAACTGAGCCGAAAATAAAGGTGAATGTTATAAAAATAAATGCAGTTTCCAGTCGTTCTTATACCTCAAATTCTACTACATAATGGCTAGGAGTCAAAAGTGACTGAGAGGAGGCTATCCAAGGTTCTCGGCACACCGCACTCGAAGCAATCTTTCAAACGCAGAACTCGTGTAGTTGCAGGGCTGACTGGAGTTTGGCAATGACAATCGAGCTGGTGGTGTATTCAATGTGTCATACACGATGAAGCTCAATGCGTTGAGAGTAATTAGTATCAAAGTACTTGATCAAACTGATTGAGGAAGAGTGAGAATAGCTGAGAATAGCTGAGAAGTAGAAAATAGTTGTAGGCCAAGAGATTCACGACATGTGAAGTAAATGATGTGAGATGAAAGGTTGTATAGAGCTAGCATTGAAACTCAAGAACTCGACAAACCACATTATTCCTCAGGAGAACAAATCTGGAAAGTCAGCTCCGATTTGGAATCCTTTGCACTTTACACCTGATGTCTGACGCTGGATGCTTGACGTCTGTGGTTACTGGATGGCAGTCGGTCGTTTCTAAAAATATTTTTTTTTTCTAGATTCATCCTGTGTCAGTAAATATTGTCCGTTACTCGATGGCCTGAATTCGTAGAGAGAGATAGAGTGGTATGTCTAATGAACTTCTTGAGTCTATGACTAACTAGCATATTGGGCTCCTCTATGACCCAGGCCACACCTCGTACAGTGCTCCTATCCTCTTTTGTTACTTGAAAGATCATTGATATATTCCCCTTGATGAATAGCCATTCAGCTCAGTATTTACCCGTGGAATTCAGCCACCTTTTCCACGGAACCTTCTACCCAAAAAAAAAAAAAAAAAAAAATGGTAGCAATGGAAACTGCGTGCGCGGGAAAAGTCACAAAAAACCTGCAGCCCCAGCCAGGCGAGGCCTAGACACCGGGACCACATGAGCTGCACATATATATCTCTATCTTCCTTTT